CGCACAAATTACCAGAGGTGAGGCCGCTTCTTCTGTGAAGCAGAAGTTCCAATCTTTTACTTGCTGCTGCTTTCTGCTTTATATCATTGTAAACTGAGCATCTTTGGGTTTTTGACAGTTGCTTGGCAAAGACAGGACATTTGAAGAGGCCACCTAGGGGTCTGGGAAGCATGTTTCGGTGTTTGTATCGCTTGTTTCACTGTATTCAAAAAAATAATGATCATTAATTGCAGTTCAAGGAATAACGCAGTAGTTTTTAAGGTTGATTCTGACATTTCTTGATCAATATATTTAAATTTGACAATAATAAAACAACAAATGGTTCTAATAATTTGCACACTGGGTTGATAGATACTGGCATGCTCAATAGTAGAGCGGCAAATTCAAGATGCCGCCCACTCACTGGCTCAAGCAAAGATGACAAGAACATAGTGTTGTTGTCAAAGTGCGTCCATCTCCGTCAGTTAATTTACTGGCTGTGTTATCTGAGTCTCCCAGCACCAGCTATAAAAGCCCGGCACTTTTGCTTGACTTTAATGCCGCTAATGCTGTTTAATCACTCAACCATTCATCACAGTATGTCCTAAATTACTATCAGCTTCATTTGGCATTGCATCATCTCAGCCAGTGCCCATTACCATCGGTGCAAATGAAGAAAGATAATGTGTTTTGTTCAAAAGGCAGATGAGAAGCTTCCTGGAGTTTGGCTTCGTCGCAGCACTGGAGACAATCGCTTTGCGTGGGTGTGTGTGTGTGTGCGTGTTCGTGATCAATATGGATCATGAATCTAATACACCCTGGGGATTTGACCTGGTTTTCTAATGGGGAAGTCACACAGACACTGGGATTCACACACACACACACACACACGCAAAGTTCAGAGAGAGCGAACCCGCTAAATGGAGGTCTCAGGACACGATGGATTGGACTCGAGTGAGAGGAGGAGTGCAGTGCAGTGCAGTGTGAACGCGGAGCTTTAAAAGAAGAAGGCCAGGCTGAGCCAGGCCGAGCCATGCCAGGCCACACTGAAGAAATCAGTTGTTTTCTCTCGGACAACATTTCCACAGAGAAATGGATAAAAAAAAAAGAGAAGAAACACAGAGGTGAATAGAGAGACAGAGATAAAAGAGCTGTGACTTTGCACTAATTCCAGAGCAGTCAACCCCGGAGGCGGCTGGAGATTCACAATCCACTGACCAGCGTCCATCGTCCCTGACAGGGTGAAGCCAATCAGCGCTTACACAGAAGAAAATCACTGGAATGTCACAGCGGGATCCCGTTCTCCACTGAAACAAAGTTAGGGCTCCCACAGCGAGGCGAGCCCAGCCATGCCCCACTGACCCACTGCAGGCTGCAGGAGTTTTTAATTCACAACAACTCTATTACTGCTGATTGTGTGTGGAGTCGTCCTATTTTCTGGAAGCTGCACTCACTTCCTCTACAATTTAAACTTAAGAATAAATATTTGAACACAGGCGAAGAGTAGATGATTTGTAAAGATGAATATTTGCAGTACAAATGTAAAATGTAAAATTATCTAATTAAAAAAAAAAAGAGGCTAGAATAAACATTTACATAGCTAGTTTCAGTTAGAAATAGAAACAAGGACATCCTGAAAAAGCTCATCTCTGCCAACAGTTTCAAAGTGTTCTGAATTTAGAAATGGGAAATTAAGGGGGTAAAATACAGTTTCTTAATCCCAATGCATGTAATTCCAAGAGTTATGTCCTGTCGGTACTTTGCTGTTGTTGTAAATGATGCAGTATCTGTCAGGCCTTGTTTTAATTCAGTGTTGTAGCAGGGATATGTATGGCTTAGCAATAAGGTGAATATCCAAAAAAAGCAGCAGTAAAAGTTTGGGGGGGGGGGATTTGGATTCAACAAGTGGTGGCTGCCGACTGGTGCACATGTTTTGGCATCAAGATAACTGGTCCGACTGGCCCCACTTCTTTCTTTAGTCCCCACCATGGGTGTTATTTTAACCAAACAAAATCTGCGTTCTTGTGCTTCAAATCAAGCTTATTATTCTTATTTTTAAAAGTTTCAATTAAAGTGCAAATTATAAACGGCTTTATTATTGGAGGTGAGTGAAAATGCTGCGTTGAGATTGGGCTGTTTTTGAGGGACTAATGTGTCCTTGTTCCTGTGCTGCACCTCTGTCAAGTGCTGCACACAGCGGTACTGTGGCACTGTTCTTAATTGTTACACAGCTTCGTTGAGTTTGCCAGTCTGATTGGCCAGTACAAAGTAGTCTAAAGTCTGTTCAGACGTCTCTTTCATATTCAGCCACGGGCGTTTTGATGATTTCTCTTCAAATCAGTTCACTTCACCAGAACGATGTTGCTCTGTGGCGCACACAGTCCTGCTTTTCAATGTAAGTTTCAGTTCTGTAGCTGTAGTTCGTAATAGAAGGATTTTATTGGTTTGATCTGTAGCTGCAACTGATTGATATCTTTAGTGAGCACCCATGTAATAAGGATCCTGCAGGAAGGAAGTCATCATGTTAAATAAGCCCCTTCAGTGTTATCAAGAGCCTCCCTTTTAATTGCTGAATCACCCCGCAGGGATCTCAGCTGGAATAATGACCGGCTTGCTATACATTAATCTTTCATTGTGCAAATCACAACGCCCAGGAGAGAGATGACGTTCAGTTGTGGAGATATTTACTGTGTGCCTTCTGCTTTTGTCAGACCTTCGTAGACTTATGGTCTATTGTATTGACAAATGTATGACAAAATTCAGTTTGTTGTCATTTCGTGTAGTTATAATCCTTCAGATTATCATAAAATCAAGGGGGGGGGGGGGGCTTCGATGGGCTTCTTTGCCTGGGGTCCCCCAGAGTGTAGGATTGCCACTGTGATTTTATTTTATAGATTCCTATAGTCCTATACAGAAGTTACATTTACATTCAGTATTGACTCGTTTTTCCATTTCATTTACAGGAAATTATTCCTCATGTAATTCAGTTTACACGTTATCACACTGTTGTCAGCCTTACTGTTTACTGTTCACTGTCTTTACACCGTGTCAGAGCTGTATTAAGTTACTGCTATACACTGAATTAAAAGCATAACCGCAGTGGATTTGTCACAGCGGTTATGGTCGAGTTCGATGGAGAGTTGGAGGTGACAGTCAATTATTGACTGACTTCACTTTAATCAGAAACACTGCTCTGCTGTATTTCTGACGCAGTAGCTACTCAGTGACTGTTTCCCGCCTCCACAGTTCTGGGACCTGTGGTATTAAAACCGCATTTGTTGTTACCACGGTAACCGTGGGTATCGCCACATCAACCAGGACTGAAATATTAAGGATTGTAACTTGTGATGGAAGAAATATTGAGATCTTTTACTGTAAGTAAATATACTTAAAGCATCAAAAGTAAAAGTACTAATTTCTGGCCCAGTATAATATATATTATGTTACTGGATTACGTCACATTAAAGCTGCAGTTGGTAAAGGTGAGGATAATTACTTTATGTAAGAGCATAAAATAGAAATACTCCAGTACAAGAAGTACCTAAAACTGTACTTAAGTGCAGCACTCGAGTAAATGTACTTGGTTATGTTCCACCATTTGTTCCCCTCTCTCTTTTTCTGTCTCTCTCCCTCATGTGAATTAATTAATAATAGTTCAGGAGAATACAACCAGTCACACAGTCTACAGCTACTACAAAGTCCACAGTCTTTACAGAAGCATCTCCTGTTGGCTCCTCAACGTCCACAGAAGGAAAACAACTATAAGTTCAACTACACCATTTGGCATCCCAAATTGAATTTGCCCAATTGCACTTTGGGAGGAACCCTGAATGTCCTCTGCTAAATGACTGCATAGTAATTCATGTCAACTGATCAGTTGGTATATGTTCCACTATGCCAAACATTTGTCTAACAATAACATGATGAACAGACTTTTTCTTACTTGCCACTAGATAATAAATTGCATTATTTTTGCAAACTAATAATAACATAATACAAACATAATAATTTCTGGCAAATAACTGTAATAATAACATCAGATTGCAGAGACATTGCACATAATGCACAGGAAGGAATCAGTGCAGCACAGTGGTTCGTGCAATAATTGAGTGTTTTTTGTCATTTAATTCTGAATGTGCAGATCTAATCTTAAATAATGTACATTGCGGGCCTGTGCTGAAAGTAGAAAAAGGCTAAATTACTTTTATATCTGGAAATATTTAATGTTGCCTGGCAACAGTCGCAACTCGGCATCTGGTGATCTGGTAAGTTCAGAGATAAAGCGCTTTAATTAACGTGTCTAGCTCAGTTAATATTGGCAAAGCAATAAATTTATGATGTTTTGGGGGAGAATTTTCAAGCATAGGAATAAATACAATATCAGAGCCTATAGAGAGCAATTGTACAGGCTCTTAGCATTATACATAATGAAAGACTGCATTCATTTAGTGTAATGCACTTCACTCAAAGCCTCACGACAGACTGCTTCTTCTCTCACATGTCTGAAAAGTAGCTGTTTTCTCATCACCACTCTTTCAGTTTCAGCTTATCGTATATTTTATGGCATCTGATCAGGCCTTGTATAACAAAATATACATTGATTTATATCCTGGTCTCCTTCCAAAACCATTTTTGCCCCGTAATCGAACTTGTTCAGAAATTTCCAAATAAGAAATACTGTGAGAGGGCTTCTCCTCTCCACAGAGACACAAGCCGCTGTCTGATTTGATTGCAGGGAGCTTTCCGAGCAGAATTTCTATGGCTCATCTGAGTTTTTTAAACTCGCTCATTTGCTTAATCCAAGCTGATCCACAGGATGTGAACAAAGAGTCCACACCTGTTTTCCCTGTCTTTCCTCTGCCACCGAAACAGCTGGTGAGGCCCGCATGACCTCCCAAATACAGCGTGAGAAATGGCAGCACTCATGTATGATGATGCTAATGTGAGACAATGGACAAATGTGTGTGAGTGTGTGTGTGACTGGGGAAGGACAGCAGGTGAGAGAGAATGCTTTAACTCACCATATCGATGGATGACACAGGCCCGATGCTGTTGACATATATGCCCACATCGATGACTGTTGGTTTCACTGCAAGAGCCAGAAGGAAGACGAGTGAGTGATGGCAGCTGCACATATTGTAGGTGGGACACATGTGAGATTTATACATGCAATCTCTTTGTTTTGTTTGTCATCTGGCAGTGTTTTCATCCTGCAGTTATATGTGACTGAGCCTGCAGTGTGTCCATGACGAAGAATCAAACCGGTAATCTAGTTTAAAACAATGATTGTCATCATTCACGGTGTCACCTTGACACAAAAAATGAATCTATTTCCTTTTCGATGAAGGCAGAGCCATTCATCCATCCTTCGCTTTTGAAATCACAAACGCTCCATCGTGCTTCCTGGAGCAGTTGCTGTGTTACCATGGCAATTAATAGCATTTCCAGTGAGTCTGTAGGATCTTGGCTAATTTTGTTTGGCAACAATATTTGAGTTGGTTCTAGGAAGCAAAAATTAATATGTGGAATCAGATATGTGGAATGGAACCAGCCCTAAAGGATCCAGCTAAGTTTCTTTGTTTAGTTTCATGACTGTTGAACAGAAAAAAATGATGTCTAACAACACTAAACGTGAAGATGCTTGTAGGAAGAGGCAGAGAATGTTTGCTGTTAGTGAACAAACATTTCATCAAAAATTTATATCATGAGTTTCATGCATTATTCTGGCTGCATGTGTTTTTTTGTGTTTGTGTTTAACACTTATGTGGCGATCTGGTTTTTACTAAAAGAAAATGTTGCTTTTTCATCATGAAACTCCATATCCTTGTTTTCTTTTTTCCTATAAATGACTTGTTTTCTCAGAATACACACATACACCACCTCCACAAATGAACTGAACGTCCTTCAGTTTTCTATTTTTTATTACCGCACAGAGAACTGGTGGGTTTTCTTCTCACTACTTCTCCTGAAATCTATAGGAAACACACACACACACACACACACACGCACACGCACACCTGATAGGTGGTGTTTAACATGACATCAGGCTTGCATGGCCACATCATCACCTGTGATCACAGTGGGTGTCAGTGTGCCGGTCGCTTTCACACATTCATGTTCGATTGTAACAGCTTTTACCATCAGAGCTAGTGTCAGCGGTGCTTTGTGTTTATTGAAAATAAGCAAATGTTAGCACGCTGACATATGTAAATGGTCATTTTGAGCATGTTTGCATGTTAGCATTTAGCTTCACACGCCGCCTCACAGAGAGCTGCAGGCTCTGACAGCATATTACAGCAGAAGAACAAATGTCTTGCGCTGAGCGCTCTGCATTGTTCAGCTCAGTATTTACCACTCCTTAACTCCTGGTGCCACTGTCCAAAATGGCACCACCTTAGGTAAAATCCTCAGTTCATCCAGCGTTCATGACTGTCTGTGCCCGCAAAGGTCACTGCAGCTCGGGTAAAAGTTCAACAAATGTAAGCTTTCGGCACATCCCCACCCCACTTAATGTCTTGTCGCCAAAAAGCATTTTCCATAACCTGTAATATAAATGAGACATTTGTAAAACTGTTGACAACCTCGACCTGTAAACATGGTCAGTTATCTCTCTCTCTGTTATGAATTTTTAATTGTTTTATATTTGTAAACGTGTCCCGAGCCTAGAAAAGTCAGTCTTATTCATCACAGTGTAAAGTCTCTGGGCGGAGCAGGAATGCAAGGGAAGCACTAATCTGCGTTTGTAGTGGGAGACAGATAACACAGAAGCAACGGAAGAAGCAAATACCAAACAAGGGTTAATCTGTTTCGTGACATTCAATCCCCTGAATCAAGCTTAAAAATATTTTCCACGCACCCTTTCTGTCTCACTCTTGACACCACAGGATGATGAAATGCTGACATTCACACACACACACACACACACACACACACACACACACACACATGATTGTCTCCCTTTTGAGCGCAATTGAATACAAAACGACTGCAGAGCCTCTTTCAGACAATAGTGTAAATGCAGGTTGATCTGCGTTGGTTACAGCACATATTATGAGGTTAAGCGCTGAGCATTTGTGAGAGCTCTTGTACGTCTAGCCCCTGTGAGATGGTGTAATAGTTGGTTTGTGTTATCGGCCAGCTTATCGGACGTGTTTGGAATCTGCTGCCTGGCTGTTATATGATGGGTGAAGCGAGGAGGGCAAGTAGCTATTGATTGTAGTTTTGTTTGCCAAAGGTTAGAAGTTCTGCAAAGCGGTGTATTGTCAAAAAATTCTCTGTGGGAACTGGAGTCTTTGTGAAAAAGACCACAAAGAAGTTAACTCAAGGGTGTTGGCTGCATTGTGTGCACAGCCTGTATTTCAGAGATCCACTCGCAGCACTTTAGTGAGTGTTTAAAGGCAGGGAAGATCTTGTTTCCTCTTTTATCTGCACTGCATAATTAAATTATTAAGGTTTCCACAGTGTCACACTGCAGCGTTGTTGCTGCCTTGCCCTTATTAGATATCAGCCTCACTGCAGACTCAGATTACAAAAACTTCAAAGCCCAAACAATTATGATCAACTTTGCATGTTCTTTCCTGGAGAAAAGGTGCCTGTAGCAGCAAGCTTAACCCCCCCCCCCCCAGCCTTGATCAGTGTGTTCGCTATCCGAACAAGAAGAGTCTGTTGTTTTACAGAGCAGTTTCCAGGTGAACGTCTGTGCCAGAATGAATAAGATGCGGGTTGATGTTGTGAAAGAAAAAATGTTTCAAAATAAATCTTTTGAGCACAAATTGAGGTTAATAGAAAGGTGAAAATAGAAGAAACAACACTTGAAATTGACTTTAATTTGAAGCTGTTACTGTTGCTATTTGGATGTCTATAGACAGGAGCACTGTCAATTAAGAGGACTAAACAGATGGCAGTTTGCGTGTAATCTAATAATGTTGTTGTCACATGTCAGGGGAAAGAGCTACTTAATGAATCCATGACCCATATTACGTTCATTTCAATTGGTCTTTATGGTTCACTGACATTGAAGACTATATTGCGAAATTGTCAGCATCTTCACAGTCATGTGATTTTCGAGTGCTCTGTGGTGTAAGTATGAATAAGAGTGCTGAAGTGCACGTGGGTGTGTTCATGTGTGCATATCTGCCAGTTATGTCCCCGGGGACCTGCTGTGCTGGGCCACTGATGCAAGCAGTTTTGGTTGGTGAAGGCCTGCTGGGAGGCGTTGACTCAGTTCCAACAGCATGTTCTGCTCCACCAACTGGACAATGAGGGACAACAATGCAGTTGTACTTTTGAAATTAGTTTTTTATTTATTTATTTATTTATTTTAAATCTGTATTTCAGCTTGAACTGTACCCACAGATACTGTATGTTCTCTGTGATTTTTACAGTGAATGCTGCACTTGAGCATCCAGTTTGAACAGCGTGAAGCTGATTGTCCAGGCATTGGTGCCCATACATCCTACATACTTCTTTTGTGATCCACCATCAGCTTGACAGTTGTGTTTTTAGTGAATTATCTTGACAATTATTGGATGGAAGGCCATGAAATTTTGCACAGAAACTCATGGTGTACGGGGGGGCGGAGTCTAAAGTCTAAGACATTAAAGGTTCGCAGAGGATGAAGCAACTAAAACATGATACTTCTGTATTATTTTAGGCCTACATGCACAAAACAGTGCAAGAATAATAAAAAATCTGCACCACTTACGAGGGTGTCATCAAAAAAGTCAGTGCTGTCCCACACAGCTACAGCGAACTGTCAGTAGCAGATGCTTCAACAAAGTACAGACGTCCACTTTAATGATGACTTTGAGCACAGACAAGACAGAAACTGAAAGTCTGCTCACTAATTCATCTGTTTGTGTTGACAGGACATCAACCTGATATATGCAGACAGCTGCTAGCCAGCGTTAGCTTTCCGACAGGGACAGACTGAATGAAGCAGAATCCCACACGCTGCTCACTCGACTTCCACGGCTTCATATCTAGTAGCCAGAGATAAGATGTCCTCAACTAAGTCAAACAGATCAGTGTGCAGTCTTTTTTCAGTCTGCCCCTCTCATAGATGGGATCTTTAGTTGCTCCAAAATAGCCAGACTCCACTAGCAACCCCAAGTCACGACAGTCCTGTTCACTGCATCAGGTCCATATGGACTCTAACCATTCATGACACGGTTTACAGGCCTGTTGTGACTCAAGGCGCCTCATACAGCAGCTATCATCTGCGTTACTCATTGGATCATTCAAATTAAAATCCTTTTTATTAATTTTATTTTTTGTCCAGCCCTACGAGCCACTCCTTTTCACCTGCCATGGAGGCTGGAGTGCTTGAAGGAGCTTCTAGCTCAACTCCGGTTCAATTTAAATTATGACAGAATAGGAAGCACCACTACCTACACTACCCTCCTGCCTGGAGGAGAAATATTTCCGTTGCTTTTAATAATTTTCAGTCACTGCAGGATCTCCTCATGGCTTCATTTGGCTCACAATCAAATCTTTATTGTCCATTTGGGAAAATCTGGCATTGAGTGCGAACAGAACAATACATACTCACAATGTACAAATTATAGAGAAATACATGCTGCATTCATTGTTCATTCAGCGTAACCAGGGGCTGCAGTGTATTCCAGCATGCACTGGGAAACCCCAGGACACACTGCCAGTCTCAACACCACACAAAGACAGACAGAGATAAACATTATTCACACATTTAGGCAATGTAGACTAGTCCAACTCATCTGCATTTCTTTGGATTATGTGGCAGAAACACCTGGAGGAAACCTCGGTGGCAGCGCGAGCTACTGTCCCTCCTGTGGGAACTATTTACAGTGGAAAACTGTGAGACCACAGAAGTGGAGGCACCGGGTGGGAAGCTGATCTGTTACAGCTAAGCAGGTCTGCAGTGTTGAGAAACTGGGACAACCTGAGGGGAATTGTCCTTAATTTACACCACAGTGGATAATCACAGTGGACGATGACGCTCTGCATCTCCGTGAGAGATGTTTTGCGAAGACATCAGTAGATTTCTTTACCCGTGCAACTCAGACAGGAGCAACTACAGTCCAGTGTTTGTGGCCCTCCTTCACTCTTTTA